AAGAATGCTGAGTTGTGAGCAAAAGTCAGACCCTGGATGGGACTATAACCCGCACCTTACGGTCTCACCCTCTGAAAGAGTGCGTTCGTTTACGCCGCCAAAGCCGTTCTTACCCCACATGGTTTTTGGGCTTCCGTGTTGTGAAAAGAGCCAGAACTTGCACGTATCAGCGTGAGGTGTGCCTCGCCCTTTTTTCTACTTACTAATCCGGATGATTCACGTACACACAAATAAACAGAACATTGCAAGGGGTGCATGGACATCCTGAGGGCAGCTCACCTTCACCGATTTCTCAGCACAAAGACCCATAGGAGAATTCAGCATAGAATCTTGCAGTCCGTCTCTTGCAATACCATCCTGAACATGGGTTGAGATTACTTCAAAACCAGTCAAAAGCAGAAAAGTTGAAGTCTTACTATAATATGCAATCCTCCGTAAGGTATTTCTCCACGTGGCATGTAGAAAGGAACCTGTGCTGAGAGATATAAAGATATCCTGATGACAAAAAATGTCGCTAGATAACGACACTTCACTGCTCAAACCTGGCTCATATTTTCGCAGCCGGCGACGAGTATCTTCTTGCGATATCCGCTTTTAATGGACAGCATGCCTAGTGCCAAAGCCTTCATGGAAGACGAGCATACTTTGTTGATGGTCACCGCCTGAGATTTCTTAGGAATTCCTAAAAAAATAAAAGTGATTGAAATTCGAGATGTCAAATTACATAAATAGTAAACATGACCTAAAGCTTCAGGAATCAGGTACAAAGCACCCACCGATAGCAATGGCAACTTGCCGAGCGACGTTCTGTCCACAATTAGCCGTTAGTACAGAGCCAACAAAAGACTCTTCAATATCGTTAGGAGACAGACCTAGAAAAATGAGTTCATTTTAACGGGTTTACTCCTTCATAACGCGGCAGCGCTCAACAGATTGCACAAAAAACTTCTCTGACAGACGTAGCTGTGAGCGCGGAGGTGGCTGTCTATCTCTGGGCATTTGCCGTTACAAAAAGAGATGTCGGGGTGCGTCTATGGGCTGTAGTGCTTGAAATCTTGCACAAATTGCATTACAGCCGTTTTCGCTGCAGAATCTGAGACGTGAGAGATGGAGAACATGTTGGGCGCGGCGCCAATTCGTTCTCCATCAATTGTTGACGCATGTAAGCGACATTAATTGGTGGGAAAAGGGCTGACGCCGCGCCAAACCAAGTCCTTCTGACACGACTCAGTGTCCTCAGCAAAAACGATTATACATTCCTTTGCTTACTCCCTGTTAGCTGCCAGAATGAAAAGAAAGTTCCACACAGCTAAAGCTTAAAAAAGCTGAAGCATTCATACAGACCAGCAAAAATCCGTGTCATATGATTTACTAGCTTAAACAAACAGTACCTGATCTTTCTATGGCGACTCGAGCTGCTGCTGTAGCCAGCTCAACTGCACTCACAGATGCGAAGGAACCGCGAAACGAAGCAATAGGAGTTCGAACTCCTGCGAGTATGACCACCTACAAGAATATAAAGCTCGACGTACGATTCTCACTCAGCAGATGCTTTCTCAGGACACATAAAAGTCTGTTGCATACACTGGCGTACTTACTTCAGCTCCTTAACTTCCTGCTTACTGTTGTAGATTCCTGCCTTACCGACGTGCAAAATGTGGACATTTGAGTTAAGGCCCCAAAGCTACTGCCAACAGCAATCAATTTCGCTCTTTTTCTGGCCGAATTTCAGTTCTATTAGTTACAAACGTAGGGGGCTGGGTTCGACGCGGCACCACCTCATTCGCCGCCAAATATTGAAGCCGGAGAGCGACAATTGGTGGAAAACGGGCTAGCGCCACGTCGAACCCGGGCCCCCTGACAAGGCCCAGCGTCTGCACTGGCTAAAAGCCATATTCATGCATATTCCTCTTAGAGAGGGGCTATATTTCTACTTTCATGAAGCAGCAAATCTACCTCTATGAATATTTTTCCAGACGTTTAGCAGTGACAGGGAACAGCTATCCATTCCTTACACTACATATGATGCAGATGAAAACCTTTTTTACCATCCCGCAATATAACCATACAAGGGTATTTGCCTAGGACCACTCAAGCTTTAGATAAGCAGGAGTCCTGCATTTCTCCTAGAGGTCAGGTCACCATCACCCCACAAGCGGTCAACCTCTCCCTCCGTGGGGCGATAAACGTATTCAATGCAGTTACTCTGCTAATTTAATATGTTTTACCCAAGTGAACCTCTGAATCACTGCTTTTCAACAAGTGCAGAAAATTTTAAATCAAGGTTCGTAACTGCTGAAACTTCTTCAGAGTGATGAATCTAATAGGAGGCACTACAGCATGGTCTCAGTGAGAAAGTCATAGAACAGCTGATTCTCTACGTTGCCCCTGGTTGTAACCACCGGCATGATGTCGAATGTTTAATTACTTCAGCCAAACGAGGTTATTAGACGAAACCTTTTGTTGGCGAATCGGACGAATGGGATAGCACGAATCGTCCTTACTAGCTTACTAAGAGAGAGCGTGAGCTAACCTAAGCTCAGCATGGTGGAACCTTCGGCCTCTAACGAAGATGTGAGGGTCGAAACGACAGGCCATTAAAAGGTTTCATCTAACAAGCTCGTTTGGCAGAAGTAATCAAACAATTGATAAACTTTTACAAGTTCGTCACCCATATAGAACTAGGTCTCAGCATCACTCCAATGATCGCTGCGCCCCCAGTCAATACCCAATGTGGCAGTATACCCCGATCGGGAGTATTGCCACGCATGCGACGGAAACTGTCAGTTGTTCTCCGGTTTCTCTCATAGAGCACGAGGATGGTTGAATTAATGTCTTTCTAGTTTTGATTCACAAGTTCACCATAACTTGGAGACAATGACACCCGTCTTTCATAAAGTTATCTAGTGACTTCAGATAAATGCTGAACCGATACTACCAGGAAGTTAGCACTGATAAGAAAAGCGTAACTAAGCAATTCGCCCTTACAACACTTAAATATTACTAACCGAGTCGTCCGACATTATGTGTGCAACAATTCTCTATAGTGCCAGCTGCTAATTCCTTCCCTAAATCCAATGCACTTTAAGAAATTCTTTGGAAACTGTTGAACTAGATCTTCTCACATAAAATCGGCGCTGTTCGGCATTAGGAGGGGCATTTTAACCTTGTGCTGGTTTTTTATCTTACTTAGTTCCTGCTGAATTACACGTCCCACCTTGAAAGACCTGTAGACCCTTCTCAAGCGTAAACCAAATCACTATTATTGCAGAACTTTATGGGAGCTTACACGTAGCCAAAGGGGGCATGGACAGTGCTTAATGGGAACCAGCAAAATGCCCCCACCAAACCGAACCGATCCGTAAAATATGTTGAGCGCTAATATGCACGTTTATCCAATCAAAAAGAAGGTACGAGAGAACCGTGCGATGCATGAACACTTCATGATATCAACCTTTTATCTCAGAAAAAGCACCGGAGAACCGTCAAGGCGTCACGTAACCAAGTTAACAAACTGCACAACAGTAAGAATTTTTCAAAACTGGCACAATAAAAATGATATGCGGTGAAAATAATGAAACCGGCTTCGACTAAAAGACTCAAACCTATTACATCTATTTATTTTATTTATTTATTTATCTAATTAAATCTACACTATAGTGAATACAAATATAACTCGAGCAGAACAAAGAGGTGCAAATGTGGAATTTCACAGCTTCTCAATAATCATCGCACTGGCACCACCGCCTCCATTGCAAATGGCAGCCAAACCTTTCTGGCCCGGTTTCAAGGCGTGGACGAGATGCGTGATAAGGCGAGCGCCAGACATTCTGAAAGAAGAGAATTTGCTGTTGAAGGTGACCACGGAAAATCTCTATGAGCACACCCCCGAGTGGGCCAGAAGTTACTCAGTACTTTGCTCAATATGATGATGTTAGTTATGATGCTTACCCAATAGGATGGCCAATGGATACCGCTCCTCCATGAGGGTTCACCTTCTCTACATCACAGCCCACTTGTTTGATGAATGCCAAGGGAACAACCGAAAATGCTTCGTTGACTTCCCAATGATCGATTTCCGTCATTTTCACACCTGCGCTTTGCAGCATCTGAAGTAGTTGATAATAGTAAGCAATCTCGTACTTCTCAAAATATTTACAGTGCATTGAACGAGTTCCCAATTTAAAAGTGCCCCCAGAACGGGTTCATGATATACAGTCCAGTACTTTGCATGTTAACCTCATTGCATGTCGGTGACATGGACGGAGAGGGGAAGTCGGACAAGACGACCGTAATTTTTCGCTTTGCCCACGCGGCGTATCGTGCGGCCATGAGCGGCAAATTCTCGATGTGCTTCACTTTGTCAACTAAAGCAGCGGAGAACTTATACAAATCCAAGTAAATACAAGACTCCATGACGAGCGACATCGAATTTTCCCCGCCTATTTGCCGTTTTGACAGCCAAGCAGGACAACTCGTCTGTCGGGCGCCACGTCGCTCACCCCACCCACGAGCGCGGCATATTACGAATATCTTGTCGCATACCCGACATGGGGGATGTCGAAGGAGCCTAGTAGTGACCGAAAACATCTTTCTCAATTTCAAATACGGTCTCTCTACTTGCAGGGACCACTTCCCCCCCCCCTCGCTAAACGTACAGCGTACCGTGGTAAGTTAGGGAACTCAGTAGATTATAGCTAATCAGTGAAAATTAATTACCTTTTTTACAGCTAGAGGAGGTGCAAGGGCAAAGTCCAGTGGATTTGTCGCTGCGTCAGCGAATGCAAGAATTCTGGCTTGTGGTTTACAGCCATGCTGCTTCACAGCCTCAGAACTTGCCAAAAGCACTGCAGCTGCACCGTCGTTCAATGTCGATGCATTACCAGCAGTAACTGTTCCATCTGAATGAAACGGTAATAAATATAACCCCAGCAAAAAAATAGGAGGACAATGAAACCAAGGGTGATAACCCCACCTTTCTGGAATACAGTTTTCAGTGACTTCAACTTATCGAAATCGACTTTTTTGTATTCCTCATCATGATCAACAGTGACATCTCCCTTTCTACCTTTCACAATGACGGGCACCACCTCAGCAGCCATGATTCCATTCTGTTAAAAGCTCTTTTGAACAAGATTCCATTCACTACCCCATTCAACATAAATTACACACTTTCCAAGCGGCTGCAGACTTCTTGTAACTTCCAATGGCATACTCATCCTGTGCTTCTCTGGAGATTGCTAATTCCTTCGCAGTTTTCTCTCCACAGTTACCCATATGGCACAGATCGTAAGCGTCTGTGAGACCATCCTTCACAATTCCGTCCTAAACAATGTATTTACAGTTGTAGAGAAATACAGTAACAATGGCCGCTTTGAAAAAAGATTCGAAGACATTCAGAGCTTATAAGGCCAGGCAAACCGGAATAAGTTTCGAAGACAGCACGCTAGCGACTACAATAGATACGGCAAACACAGGTGACAAAAGAGTGCGTGTCAATATTCCGCTTTTTCTCTTATCACGTTCGCGTGTGGTCCCCGTTAGATCATTTCTGGTATGCTTGACAATCATATCTCTCAAACCATTTATGTCTGAAAGCATGAGGAACATTCATGAAAAGTTCTACAATTGTCCTAACGACATGTCTAGTGCCATGACCTTGTCCGAGAAAAACAATTTATTTTCTCTGATCGGTCCCAGATCGCTCGACGCAAAGTGTCAATCAAATAAAGTTGTGTTTTGCGTACATCACAGAAGCATTAAACCGACGGCTAAAAGAAGGAAAGCTAGATGCAAGACGAAAGCGTAAAGGCAAGGAGAACAGCGCTAACCCGTTTGGGACAGGGTGGAGAGGCTCGAATAAAATGGTTCAAGGTACGGTGATGTTGTAAACCTTGTAAACTCAACTGAACACGTTGACGACGATCGCGTTTTGCGGGAAATAATCCCCACTGCGGACAATGGCGGCTTTCGCACTCCTGTGTCCGCCCTGAGCCACGGTGGCTCATGTTGTCCCTCGTGGACCCCTTTTTTGCAGCTATGTCAAATTTCGCCAAATGATAAGTGAATCCTGTAGGGACTGCTATTTCAACCATCTTTGACCCTGTTGGATGCCATCTCATGCCCCGCCCTCTGCGACCACGCCCACTTTTTGGCGCGATCGTGATTTCCAAAATGTGTTCCATAACTTCCGTTTCTGAGAATTTCCTTGGAATTTTCCGCTTTTCACACATTACAATGATTCATAGATGGCCACACTGACACATACCCGGCCACGCCCACTTTTTAACAGCTTTGTTTTATGTATAATTTTCATACCTTATCTCGACGTTGGCGCTTTCAATCACACTCTTCACATATTCCTCGCAGACAAGCAATTGCACAAAGATGCATAATGCTCCGCAATACTTAGTCTCCGCCCACTTGTAGATACTGATTTGTTCTGCGATTTCTAGCGATATTTCACTATCACTATTTGTCCATTTTTGATTTCCACTATCCATATTTTATCACTTGTTCACCATCTCAAGATCACCAAACGGCATTAATTTTAAAACTGGAGCAAGAATGATACGTTTGTGACCAGGGTGCCAAATAACCCAGGTGTTCGAGTTTGTAATCCAGTTCGGTGCCAAGAAGATCGCTGGCGCCAACTTTGGAAGACAGCGATACATTCGTGACAAGGATTGCAAATAACCTAGGTGCAGATGTTTCTATCAAATTCAATGCTCAAAAGATCCGCTGGACCGCCAAAACGGCGGCTAGTGGCCGCCCAATATCACAGTTCCATGCAGCCAAGGTTCGTCCAAAAAAAAACTATTTTGGGGGTTTCTGCCGCACCAGGCACCTAGCTAGTTGAAAAATTTCAATTTTTAGTTCAAAATATCTCATGGAGGCAGCAACATTTTTCTTGCTCATCCCTTGTTGGACAACTCACCTTCCACAGGTTACTCGAAAGCAAGAAAAAGATCGATTGAGACTGCCGGCAATAACCCAAAAAGTGATGGAGAAAGTCATGAGCCACCGGTGGCTCAGATCAGATTGTCCCACGTGGCCACTCATTCATGAGCCACCGGTGGCTCAGGATGTCGTCAACGTGTTAATGAAATCCAATGTAAAGCTATGAAATCGCCCGAGTGTCATTTGCTTCGGTTTTTGTTAGCTACCTAACACTACAGTACCACTGTATCAGGTACACTGCAGTACCTGCAGTTTGTGCGGATGAGCGCGCGAAAAAAATTAGTGAATAGGAACTACTGCCATAATTTCCGAGGTGGGGAATGAACTCTTTCATGCGAAAAGGATATTCCACAGTTCGGCAGAAGTGCTCCACTCAATGAACGCAACCATTTCTTCGACACGTCCACTTTTTGCATATAATACTATGATTTCGAAGAGAAAGATATGCTGTGCATTTCGGGGGCATTATCAGCGCTAAACAAGATTCTACAAAATTACCGAGCGCGAAGCCTGACCAGGATTATACGGGACACCTCTCCCACAAACGGACCAGTCCGAATACCACGGTTTACAGGGAAATGACTTGACTAGGCAGTTCAAGAAATTCCCTTATGCGCATACCAAATTTTTCATGTCCACAAGGAGTCCGAAGTCTCTGTGTTCAGACCTCACCGAATCGTTGCGCTTACGATTTAGTAGCACTCAAATACTAAAGGCGGCGAACCGCAGTTGCAGACAGAGGTATCAGATCGGGTGGGGAGCTGGTGATTGAGGAATCAGCGAGACAGAACGCATACGCCACCGCTAGTTATGAGCACGCATACCCCTCTTATTCTTCTAATCAGCTTTTCCAAAATACTAGCGGCCGTAGCTGATCAATACCATGTGATTAGGGAGCGCCTTCCCTCCTTTTCTCCTGTTCTTTTTCAAAACACTACCTCTCAAAGCCTACCAATACCCGTCTGTGGGTACCTTCTTGTCTAAAGCATTGGAGCACGACCGCTATGGTAGCGCCTGATCGCGAAGTCTGGCCGCAGCCAGCTCAAGAAACTCATTAAGAAAACGATAGAAAACATGAACAAAACTGCAAAACTTACCAGCAGCTTCATACCACCGTACGTTGTATCGCCACGAGGCAAGTAGAAAGGAACTTGTGACATGCTTTCCATTCCTCCTCCAATGACAATCTGAGAATTAGAATTACAATCTAAAGAGAAACTCAGCTATTTCGTACGACAAGCTGCAGTTCATGCTATTGAAGCCTCTAAAAGAGGTGTTTGATGCCAACATGAGAAAAATCTTAATGCACTGATGATGTCTGGACAAAAAGAGATTATTCCTTACGTTTTGTTGACCCGTCTGAATTTGTTGAGCAGCAAGCATTATGGACTTAAGACCCGATGAGCAGACTTTGTTCACAGTAGTGACGAATCGGTTGAAACTTTCAGACCTGAGTATTATCACTCATAAGGCATTAAGTTATTTTCTTACGACTTTTTTCCTATAAGCTCTAGACTACCGAGAAAAAAAATATTCCGGAATAGCGAAACAGACGACCCTACACAAATCGCAAACATACCTCACGAGCGCAGCTTGCTAGGGGTGCTGTCCACATTGCGCCTTGACATTACTTTGCCCCATGTACACCTTAATACATGTTTTTTTGTTTTCATTACTTCTCCCTTCAGAACAGACAATAAGAGAAATAGATAGAACAAAATCGTCAAAAATTGTATGTCTGAAGGGACCCCCAAGAACGAAAGATAAAATATACACTACCTTAATTTCAGCCAGACTAAATGCACCCGAACACCTTTGCTGTGGACTAATTCATTACCTTTGACTCAGCCCTACGTCAAAGAGAAAGCATGCCCATGAGTGTTAGTGATGCATAAAAGGATCATAACGTGAACTTTTCGTGTATAATTATAGGAAAAGGTTATGAGTAAATATAATTTTACTTATAACCTTTTTCCTCTTCTCAGGAAGCAGTATGAGTAGGTTGCTCCTTCTCTCTGTCTTAATGTTAGTGGGAATATTAGGTTAGTGAGTTTATTATAATGTAGCAAGTTGTGGCACACCTCATGGTGTAGAGAAATAAATAAATATGAAATTGTATGCTGACTACATGTACCGCCTTCAAAGGACAGTCTCGACCAAAATTTTAGGCGATTTGAGGGGTGGGTTCACGTACCATGGTTGGGGTAGCGACGTCCTAAGTATTAACTAGTACAAATAATTCAATGTTACAGAGCTAGTACTGTGTCTCCACCAAATTAGGACTGGGTTCATACTTTGCGTCAGCGTTTTGAGACGGCAACTCTTTGAGCGTACGTCAGCGCTTTCCGCGACTAGCAAGGTATGGGTATCGATCTAGCATTTTGAGAGACGCCAGGAATATTTTTTCAGAGAGAATTTCTTTTCTAATCATTTAAAACGGGGTAAGCACAAAACGCTGAGAGTGAACGCACTGTTAACTTTTGAAGATTGTAGCTGCAAATTCTGCTGTACAAGTCCGATGTCTATCCATTTCGTATTCAAAGCCCAGCGATGCCAATAGCACTGTGCCACAGAAACTGTTAACGTCTACTGATCAAAGCAGACAGCGAAGGTTCATGATCGCAAGCGCTATGCAAATAATACGCTAACTCCATGGAAAGGAGCCGCTCTTCAATGTGAACCCTGCAACCCCGAACTGCAGGTTCAAATGTGAGTCCGTGGATGCTAGGTGGCCTCTCAGTGACAAAAAAAAATTGAATTGAAAGAAAACAAGGCACGGTTGCGAGGGCAAGGGGATAGAGAAAAAGCATGAGAGAAGGGGAAGATCAACGAGAATACAAGACAAACTAGATGACAATGGTCGATGATGGGCGAGGCAAGTTCGACGCGCGGCATTCTTAGAGACAACGACGCCCCTTTCACTCTTTGCCCCAATGTGGGACATCGTCTAAGATTAATTATCTGACTACTTGTACAAGGAACAATTGATTCTACCGATCAGGTAATTCGAGTCGTGTATTTAAGCTGTGAATTCGCGGGGCAATGTGGAAATGAAAACAGCTCCCTATATGCTAGGATCCTATCGACCTGAGTTACAACAAAGGAAAATACTCTTAGCAGCAAAATAACTGAACGATATCATACCTCCTGTACATCCTCCGGTTTCAAGCCGCCTCTCTCCACAGCAGCCTTTATGGCAGTACTTCCTAGTTGTGGAGCTGACACCGAGGCTAACTGTGATCGGAAGGACCCAACTTTGCGTAGTCGGGCAGTGCTCCCCAAAAATTTAAAATAATAAACACCTCCTGCAAAGGAATTACAAAGATTGTTTCAACAGCAATAAACGCCAGAATAGATGCAAAAGGGATATATTCAAAGGTACACAGCCAGTACATTCGCACTATTCATTCAGCCAAGCATAATTCCTAAAACTTCTACTTAGAAAATCCAACTGAAGAACTGCGAATCTTCCTAAACCTTTCAAACAAAAACAACGAAGGGAAAAAAAGTCAAAACCTTGTTTCGACAAGGAAGAGAATGCTTAGTGCTCGGTTAGTCCGGCTATTAGTGAGCGACCAACATTTCTGAAAATTGTGCATGCAATATGAAATCTGACGCAAGACATTCGTTATACAGATAGCTGCGAGAGTATGACGTGAGAGAGTCAGGAGGGAATGTGTCGAATAAAGCGTCTGTATAATAAGGTTGAATGGTTCAAATTCAAGGAGCGGCAGTCCAAAGTGCTGAAGTATCACAGAGAACAGTTTCAGCGGTACTGGTAGCTGGTGAAATGGGGAGTGTTCATATTTTGACGAGTTCGAGTCGCTGGGGGTGGGGGGGGTGGGGGGGCGGGTGGTGGGATCTGGGGTCGGTGGAGAGGGCGGGGGGGAGGGGTGGGGGGGGGTGGGGAGGGTTGGAGGAGGGGGGTCCGGGCGGGAGAGGGGGGGGGGGGGGGGGGGGGGGGGGGGGGGGGGGGGGGGGGGGGGGGGGGGGGGGGGGGGGGGGGGGGGGGGGGGGGGGGGGGGGGGGGGGGGGGGGGGGGGGGGGGGGGGGGGGGGGGGGGGGGGGGGGGGGGGGGGGGGGGGGGGGGGGGGGGGGGGGGGGGGGGGGGGGGGGGGGGGGGGGGGGGGGGGGGGGGGGGGGGGGGGGGGGGGGGGGGGGGGGGGGGGGGGGGGGGGGGGGGGGGGGGGGGGGGGGGGGGGGGGGGGGGGGGGGGGGGGGGGGGGGGGGGGTAGATCCGACTCAATGGGTGTCATGCGGTGTGTATGTGCTAGAGAAGCGTTGTTGCAGAGCACTGGGTGGGTGGTGTGTGGTGGCACCAGAACCAGGATGCTGACACCCATGGAAATACGGGGTGGGCTGATCGGAGAGGGTAGCTTTGTGTCTTCAGAAAATCATAGCTTCTCTCAGTCTTATACTACACTCCAACCATTTTCGCCGTTCCTCAGGAAACCTAGTTAGGGGCCCGGTCAAAATGTCAGCATTGGTCCCTGCCGCCTTGTTCGCCTCTAGCAGTCAAAAACATGTCCTAGTTTACCTGGTTGAAGCGCTAACTCAACGGATGCCGCGTTTTGGACTCATCAAATTAAGAACCTCTGCCATTGTGGGCTTAAGGATGGAAACGAGAAGTATCATAACATAGCGTTAAATGAAAAGCCCTCCACACCAATAATCTTAACAAAATACGAGCCGTTTGCTTGTGCCGCACAAAAATAAGCAATTCATTGCTTGATTTGTCAGGAGAGACCACTTTTTCCATAATCAATACTTTCTTATATGTGGTTATTAACGCAGCTTGTTATTAACAAAGAACTACCCAGACGTTGGAAAAACTAAGTATTAAGGAAATCCTGGAAAAAAGTACACAGGTGCCTACATTCCGCACAGATCACTAACACTTTCCAGGATCACTTCCGTCCGGCAGAAACTCAGCTATCGTCTCTCTCGAAATTAATGAGACAGCTTCTAACGAAACAGCAGGAGCAAAATGTAGTTTCCAAGGTTTCATAGTCAAACAACTTCAGAATTTGGTCTAGCTGAGGTAAAGGTCGCGAAAACTACTACAATGGATCGAGGAGCCTCTTGCGTATGAATGTGCATCTCGAAAAGCTGAGCGAATGTAGTTCGTGAAGAATCAATGATGATGCAGTATCGAATATTTTTTTCATTTTGCGCGGCACGGGGTCTAAAATGCATAAAGTACAATGTACAAAGTACAAGTGCAGGTTGTGCCCCCTTTATTCTAACAAAATTTAGGGCGCTAATAGGAACGGTAAGGTATGACATTGACTGTTTTGTAATAGAGTCTCCCGGTTTTGTGCTAACCACAGTTTCATGGCTTATGCCGCCACGATCGTTATAGGATCCCATTGCGAAGGGTGAGGGGGTCGTATTTGGCCTAGCGGGTTTTCGATTCGTTTTAGAGAGTAACCGCCCACAAATGATCCTGCTCGCAATGCTCACTATGTTCTTTTGTCAGTGATTCTCAACAATAAGTAGCCGTGTACGATCATCAGTGCAACTCGGTGCACTGTGTAGAAGGGATCGAACTGAAAATCCACAGACAGGTGACAGGAAGGCACACCACCGCTCATGCTAGTCGATAGTTTACGAAGACAGAGCCGCTCAAGGTGCATGAAAGTAATGGAAAATCAGCGAAAATGATATTACAGAACGACAATACACTGACTAATTGTAAAGTAAGAAAAACACAATCCAACGGTTATCACAAGAACGCTGAATCGTAGGCTAGAACCTTGATCCCAGAAGCGCATTTCACGCGTTCCGTCGACTTCCCCCTTCACTCAGGATGTTCTGAAGAACTGCCGAACTGCGGTAATAGACCGATACGTAGCCAATACTTTTCATTAATCCTTCAATTCTGCATCTCATCAATTCAACAATTCTTCACCGCTGCAAGTATATGTACAAATATACATCAACGCGGTCTCATACTGAAGGAACACTGGGTGAAACGTAACCGGAGATAAGCAAAAGCATAAATAGTACAGGTGATAAGCTCAATAATGGAGACTCGGGTGGGGAACTTGGAAGGAAATACGAACAGGAGCAGAGGCACATACATGGACAGATCGTAAAGACTGAGTAACCCTACAGATTGAGTAGAAAAAAAACAAAAAAAAAAACGAAAATAGTAAGTGTTCCCGATACACGCGGTACGGTTAATTTTGACGTCGAATTTGCGCTGCTGTGTGTGATTGCGGGAGAGAACGCACAAGTTGGAATTTCTACGCGCACCTGCTCGCATTGTTGATCGTGAGCGATTTGTTTATTCGATATGACTTGTACTAGTAGATTCGCTATCTTCAGTCTGTCTCTTGTGCAGCATCACCACACTAATTCCGTAAAAGTTGAACTTTTGTCGTCATTCAGCTGTAAACGCCTTGAGTTAAGTCGTTTAACGACGTTTTCCAAACAAAATAAACACAAGTTTCACGCATTCAGACAAGGAACTCATCCAGTAGGTTTAGGTTAAGTTGGTAGAAATTACTCTCTTTCCAATTTCCGTTTTCTTTCGCTCACGTTCCACTTTCGCTCGCATTATTTACCTTCCGTGCGTGGTACTGATCCACCTGGCCCAATGGGTTCTCTCCGCTCGAGGAACACCCAAGGACACGATAAACTTCTTACTGCGGTCGTTCAAGTGTTTGTTCAACATCTCATGTCATCCAGTCGCTGGTCGCTTCGGCTCGGTGGTCATCATCGAACCCATCACGTATTCGACTCACCTGATACTCGAAATTTCTCTGCCGACTTGCAAATGATATGGGTTTTTGACAACCCCAGAAGTTTGACCTCATGAGAAACAAACCCTCCGTCTCAGGATATCTGTCAACTGTTGAGCCCCCCTCCTTGCTTTTTTCGTCCTCCTTTCCTTCGTTTCTTCTCTCGTTCCTCAACCTTGCTTTCCTTTCAAATGCTCGATCAGGCAATATCTGAATGGCCTACCAGACGACGAGTTTATCCCTTGCACTATCATTCTGGAGCGGTAAACCGCTTTGAAATCGTGACGCGAGCCCATCAATCGACAGAGATGCATTGAGATGTGCGCTCCGTTTTGGAATTGAATGAAGGTCATGCGAGAAAAAAGGAAGTGTGAAAGATGGGCAAACACCTTTTTTGAGAGTGCTGTCACTGCGTGTCCAATCGTAAGGGCGCGCTCATTTTCCATTTTGGGTGAGTCAACGAATATGTGAAAAGGATTTGACACGAAGTATCGTCGATTCTGTGCGTGTCAGCCCTTCGCAGATCCCTCTTTGATAGGTAGCGGATAGTTTGCCACAGATTGTACGATTTTGCTGTCGGCTGAGCCATTTCGATCAATTTGTACCTATTCCTTGTAGGAGGCTTCCTGTTTCTCCAAGTTGAGTCCAACGCGGCCTGATTCTGAAATCGGCATTACTTTCCGGGGTAACAGGCTTATCATCGGCATGAAGTACCAATGTCGATACACAGATAGGCTTGCAATTACGATTCAAGATCTAACGTACGAGAGTTCACCCCGCCATTCACCACGCCACTGTCCTCCTAAATTTGTCCCCTGCACCATCACGGGCGAGGGGGACAGTTAGTCAACGCTGGACTCAAAAAAAACAAAAAATATGGAACCATTTCTGGAACCGCACTATTTCCACTAACAACTTACAAAAATCACCTAATAAACCACCCAACCAATAAGGCACCTACTTTCGCGACTATACGATTCCCTAATCAGGATTCTGGTGGAGGTGGTGTACCGGCAGGTGGCATGCTTACCACGCGCGCGGTCCGGGTCAAATCTCGTCGACGTTGTGATTCGGTCACAGTCGCATCAAATGTACCAATGCGATTCTGGCGTATGTAGTAAGAGATGTAAGGCGCGCGCCAGTGGGCATCGCGTGCAACGTCCGCGCCCCTTACTAAAGGCGATTGTGGGTGGTACTGGTGGAAAATAGACAATGTATGACCAAAAATAGACATAAGTGTCTACCATGTGTTGTCTACATGAAATCCGATGCTCCAATCAAAACGTTATGCAAACTGAGGGAAACGTCCCGTGCGCGCGACGATAGCCAGGCAATTTACATCCTCCTATGTCCCGCTCTCTCCCGCAATTCTGACGTGTCCGAATGAAGTAGAAGGCGTGCCGCATCTC